ATATGGCCAACATAGAGCTTATAAAAGGTTTGGACACTTACCTTACACATTGTGGGATCGAGTTAAATTCAAGAGATCGTACCTACAACTACAAGATGAAAAAAAAAAATATTCCCAAACCTTAATGCTTGTGTAATTTCTTTTTTCACATCCTTATCAAGAGGAACCCTCCCTTTTAGCACCTTTCTAATTTTGTCCTTTTGGTCATCAAATCTGTAAAGAAGAATGAACAGATGATTTCCGACTTCTAAGTATATAATTCTAAAAAGTGAAAAGCTGAAAGATAAAAATAAAATGGATCTACATCTTTTTATGTTTCTTCTTCCGATTTTCCAACTCTGCTTTCTTGTGAGATAGCATAACTCTGTCCTCTGAATCAGAAGCCATGATATCCTTCTCACGATTGACAGCTCTAATCTTTTGATCTATACTATATATCTCATTTTGCACTTGACGTATATTTGGTTCAAATTGTCTTTGAGAGAGTTGGCTTTCCTTCCTCTCAATCTCATTTCTCTGCAAGCATTACTCAAAATTATGCTAATCATATATGTCAGATGTAAAAAATTAAGGATATAGATTACTTAACAACAAAAATAGAGGTGCCCCTACCAAATTTTTTTCTCTTTCATCTATGTGAGAGAAATTCAGATTCGTCATTTGAAGTTCAAATGAATCGAGCTCATTTTTCTTCTCTTCGATGCGCTTAAAAATGCCATCCTGCAAGCATGAGAACCTATTAACATTGTGCAAGATAGAAAAATTTGACAAGAAATGTATGCATTTGAATGAAACACAAAACCTTGATCCCTTGCATAGCCTTTATTTTAGCATCAGTATCTTTCCAACAGTCATTAGCATTCATGTTGCGATCCCATGCCATCTCAAGTTCGTTGTCATTTACTTTCTGAACAAAAGAAGCAAGAAAACAGTCAATAATCATGTTGTTTTCTTACTTTCCATATAGTTAAAATAAGTTTACAATTTGGAAAATTTAGCCAAGCACATTCTGTTAAAAAGAAAACAAATTCACTGAAGAGTGAACGAAAGAAAGAAAGAGGTACAGGAGCATAGACACAATATTCTTCCTTAAGGAAAAACCTATAAAAAAAAGGGTAAAAATCAAGTGTGCAAAGCATTCCAATTCTACACATATCCAGCAAACAAACCCAATACAATACTGCGACTTTAATGCACAAAGAAAACAAAAAGATCCTTTATCCCAAATATCAAGTAACAGCAAGAAATCATCCTTGAAAATTCCTCCACTTCTCATTTGTGAGGCATTTAAAAGTGAAACACACTCATAAACCAGAAAGAGAGAACAGAAAAGTCACCTTTTTATCATCCAGATCCTTCTCGAGATCTGCCAACCTGGATTTTACACGACTAGTGAGATTTAAAGCAACCTCGACACTGAAAGGCGACCTTGGAAGTGGTCCCAAACTATATGTGGCAAAAAGACTGTGAATGGAGGAATCACGGTCATTCTTCAAAGACATGTGGGCCTGAAGTTCAAATTAGAAACAAAATTACAATAACACTCTCCAAAACTAGATGTCAGTATAGGTAGCTTGTGTATCAAATTCATTTACTTCTGCTTCAGCTTGTAGTTTGGCAATCTCTTTGTTGGATTGACCAATGATATTCATGAGGGCGGTACCTTTCTCAGCAAGGTCGGTCATTTCTCTTTCCAACTTTCTTATTTTCGCTTCTAAAATTGCAATCCTTTCTTCAAACTTGGTCTTCCATTCCATCAATAATTCATCAGAATCTAATTAAATATAATATGCAGAAAAGGAAAAAGCATTAGAAACTTATATATATATTAAACAGGGCATATCTGTGTAAATCCATTAGGAAATACAACAATTTAGAAGAGGCCGAAAAATTCAAGACTGGCTCAATGATGGTAATACGTCTACCATGTTCAAGACTTGCATACCTACATTCTCCTCCACAAGAGCTGCATGTTGTTTCTCTTGTTCCTTAAGCAGGGTGCTTCGTTGAGCAGTTTTAGTTGATATCTGCTCTTGCAGCTTCCGCAAATCCTTCAATGTTTCCTCTGCATGATGAATTTTATCCTCTAATTGTTTAATGCTCTCTTCCAACTGCTGTACTTGACCTTTCACTGACTCTGTTTTCTCTTGATCCTGTGCAATGCTTTCCCGTAGCTATAACAAAATAAAATTAAATAATTAAATTTTATTTTTCTTTCTATTTTGGCACATTGTGGCTTTCTTGATGATTATAACGGTCAAAGATGAAGGATTATTAGAATATCATATTAATGGTTTTTTTGAGAAAACAAGAGAAAAATATCATATTAATGGGAAGAACGGCTATTAGACAAGTAGTGAAAATGTGTTACCATTAAAGTAGAACAAAAGAGTATATGTTTTCAAACGCTTTAGCCGATCGCTTTTACTTAATTTAGAAGGCAAGAGAAAAGAGTGGTTTTGTAGCGTTGATGATTTGTAGGATAAAGAGGGAATGAGAAAACTTATTTTTTTCCTTATTATTTATTATTTGTAGAGTTGCGTCATATTTTGGAAGAGGAAAGAGACCTTATAAGCAGCATCTTTGAGAGTTTGAAGATGTTCGAGTTTGAGCTTGTAAGTCTTTATCTCTTGAGCCTGCTCCTTATGAAGTTTCTTTATAACTTCCAACGCCTTGGTGTATCTGTAAAGTACAGAATCATATATGCATAATCTATAATGAGTGAATGAAAAAAGCAACAGCGGGGAGAGAGTAGGGAAATGGAAGGAGAGATACCGAGTTGCGGAAAATATATCGTCAAACTTCTTCTTTAAGGTGGAAGGATCCTGTAGGGGCCAGTTAGCTTCGTCCTGGTGAACGAATATAACATTTTCGAGAATGGCCTTGGAAACACCCATGAGGGCAGGAATCTCTCGATCCATGTCAGCGCATCGATTGCTGGGGCAAACTTTCTAACAGAGGAGAAGAGAAGAGGGTTAATGGGAAGAGAGTGAAGAAGAAGAAGAAAGTGAACGAGTAAGGCACCTCTCCCGTGTGAGGATTGATGGTTTGAAGCACACTCTCGATAGCCTTGTATTCCATTTTGGATGCCTTCTGCGTAAGCTGAAAGGACCTCACACAGACGGCATCTTTACCGGCGGCCGTCTTGAATCGGAGCTTTATCTGTCCCTTCGTTTCGGTT